TCATCCAAATCCAGGACGCAGGACAGAAAAACAGAAGAAGAAGTAAGTGAATCAGCTGTCTCTCTGGAGGCGCATACTTAGCTGTCTGGTCCCTATTAGTTGCTTCGTCTTCCCACCAGATAACAGACATGAAAATCTCTTTGAGTCGACCCAGCTCCAGCCTTTACATGATGGACTCCATTTTTTCTGTGCTGCACCAGAGCCCCCCCACCCTCCCTTCCCGTCCCCTCACCCTACGCTGTGCTTTGCTTTCCTTTTAAAACAAATAGCTGCAGATTCCTGAGGCAGACCTGCATCCACCAAGCGAGCATCTCTATACCACTTCATGATACATCCCTCGGTGTGTTAGAGGAAGAGGAATGCTTGTACGTGTGGGTGTGTGATCTGCCCCCCCCCCCTCCGAAAAAAGAGAGATAGCACAAAAGATGGATGAAGCCTGGGTGACATACATCCTGACACCTCCACAAAAGAAAAAACTGACCACTCTACTTACAAAAGCCAAGGGACAGAATAATGATTTTTTTTTTCCTCTTTTCTTCTCTGTGTCTGTTTTCCTTTTTTCCTGCCGCTGCCAATACAATCCAATTTCTGACACACTAAATGTGGCAACTATCATTCTTTCTTTGAAGTGGCACACAGGCATACATAAATGCGGCACATTGTGCGCTGATGAAATACAGTGGGACACCAACAAACCAGAGCGAAAGCCTTTGACCTTGTGTGGCTTGGAGAGTGTGATAGCTCCCTGGATATAAGAAAATCAATATTCTGCATTTAGCCGTGCAGGACCTTCGGTTATATGGAGCAACATACCACTAAGACTGTTTGTCTTGCATTGACACGGGAAACACATTGAGGAAAATGCACCTCAGGCCAGATGTTTTTAAGGGCGATTAAAACGAAGATAATACATTTAACATAATGAGCTGCAATTAATTCCCCTGAGGCTGCAAGGGAGCAGTTTACTTTTAAGGCCAAACTGGAATTAGTCAATGTTAAATTCTGCTTCTTTTGAGTTAATCTGAAAGACCAACTCAAAGGTCAATCAAAACATTTCACACCTCACAAGAAACCTCACTAATAGGACGTGTTCTTTAGAGTTTTAAAACAGGGCAGAAAATGAGCATGGATGAATCCTAACGGCTCAGGCGCCGTAATCCAGCTGCTCTCAACCCTCAAGAATCTCAATTTTACCTTGTATTGTCTTATATTTACTGAAGCCCAAATGGCCAGACAGCAGCAAACCTCACACGACCTCAGATGCAGCTCATAAACTTGACTTTGAAAGACACTGATACAACTCTGTGCATATTCAAGTGCTCTTTAATTCAATGCACTGATACGAACTCTGAAGCATGATAACAAGATAACCCAGTACGCTCAGTTAACACTTTATCAGTTACACCTGGCTCAAACTAATGCAACAGTAAATCCTAACTTCATCAAGGCCATAACGTTTTGTTAAGTGTGTTGATTCTTGATTCTACTGTATGTGTCACTGTGGAGGCTGATGCAGTTGAATTGTATTGCATCGCACAAAGAGCTGTTTGTTATCTGCCCTTCATTCATCTTCACTGATTTAAGTCAGGTGGAGAAAATAATGGAAACACATGTAAACTGATTGTAAAATCTGAATTCTATCACCACACAGAATATTAATGTTGGACCGATTTTCAAGATTTGATTCAATCACTACATTTTTGAAGGCCGATATGTTGTATATTACTTATTTCTGTTACAGTTGTTGTAGTGAAAGCATTAGCATGGTACTATGCATTCGCCCCCCCCCCCCTTCTTTCTCTCCTTTCGTGTTCACAAATGGCAGGCCTGTTTCTAGCATAAGCCATCGGGGTAATACCATGACAGAGAGACTGTAAATTGTTCTGCTTGTTATCCTCCGGCAACTGAAATCCTGCCACGCAGTCAGAGCTCAGATTGGTGAGTAGGAGCTCCTTAGGCTGCGAGAAACATTGTTAGGAGAGCCTTCTTGTCCACACAAACACACACACACACACACACACACACACACACACACACACACTCTCCTCGAGGTCCTGCAGCAGCTGGGACCTGCTATGACTTTCCTCAGGCTCGGGATGAAAATAAGGCACCTTTGTCCATCATAAAGCTAAATAGGATTGTGACTATGAAGAGGAAGCTGTGGAGGGAGGCACGGTATTATGTTGCCGTATTATTCCCTGTTCTTAAAATGCAATAATTAAAGGTAATGAACGGATTACTGTGGACACATAATATGCACTGTAATATGATCCTGTGGTTTGGAATAGAAGTATTTAAAGGTGCCATATTGTATAAAGTGAGACTTTCATGTCTGTTTTGATTATAAAGCAGGTCTAGCTTCTATATTAATTCTGTGAAAGTATCAAAGCCTCAGTCCACAGAGGAATGCACACAGCCTGTATTCAGAAACTGAGCCTTGAAAACGAACCGTCAGGACTTCTCTTACTTTGTGATGTCACAACAAAGCAGTCACCGCTCTCAGCCAATCCCAAAGCCCCACCCACCTGGACCCAGTGTCTAACTTTGCAGGATTTGGTTTTACCTGAGAGTTGCAATATATTTTTATTCTATTACTCAGAAAACAGTCAGTCAGTGAGAAGAGAGGCTCAGAGGCTCAGAGCCTCCTCTCTTCTGATTGGCTCACCGACCTGTTGTTACTAGAGCTCCAGAGAGACGCCTGAGAGCGGAGATGTAAAACTACACTGAGATGGTTTTTGGTTCTTAAAACCACAAATATATCTTCTTAAGGCTCAACACTTCAAAAATAAAGTGTTTGTGGACACACCGTGAAAAAGATCAATCCCAGGCCGATCATATCACTGAAGTGCTGTGTTAAGCTTGTATAATTGTGTACATGCATAATGTGAGCCTGCACTAACAGTAACTTTTCATCCAAATCCAGGACGCAGGACAGAAAACAAGAGAAGAAGTAAGTGAATCAGCTGTCTCTGGAGGCGCATACTTAGCTGTCTGGTCCCTATTAGTTGCTTCGTCTCCCACCAGATAACAGACATGAAAATCTCTTTGAGTCGACCCAGCCTCCAGCCTTTACATGATGGACTCCATTTTTTCTTCTGTGCTGCCACCAGAGCCCCCCCCCACCCCTCCCCCTCCCCTCCCTCCCCTACCCCTCCACACCACCCCTCCCCCCTCTGTGCTTTGCTTCCTTTTTAAACAAATAGCTGCAGAATTCCTGAGGCAGACCTGCATCCACCAAGCGAGCATCTCTATACCACTTCATGATACATCCCTCGGTGTGTTAGAGGAAGAGGAATGCTTGTACGTGTGGGTGTGTGATCTGCCCCCCCCCCCTCCGAAAAAAGAGAGATAGCACAAAAGATGGATGAAGCCTGGGTGACATACATCCTGACACCTCCACAAAAGAAAAAACTGACCACTCTACTTACAAAAGCCAAGGGACAGAATAATGATTTTTTTTTTCCTCTTTTCTTCTCTGTGTCTGTTTTCCTTTTTTCCTGCCGCTGCCAATACAATCCAATTTCTGACACACTAAATGTGGCAACTATCATTCTTTCTTTGAAGTGGCACACAGGCATACATAAATGCGGCACATTGTGCGCTGATGAAATACAGTGGGACACCAACAAACCAGAGCGAAAGCCTTTGACCTTGTGTGGCTTGGAGAGTGTGATAGCTCCCTGGATATAAGAAAATCAATATTCTGCATTTAGCCGTGCAGGACCTTCGGTTATATGGAGCAACATACCACTAAGACTGTTTGTCTTGCATTGACACGGGAAACACATTGAGGAAAATGCACCTCAGGCCAGATGTTTTTAAGGGCGATTAAAACGAAGATAATACATTTAACATAATGAGCTGCAATTAATTCCCCTGAGGCTGCAAGGGAGCAGTTTACTTTTAAGGCCAAACTGGAATTAGTCAATGTTAAATTCTGCTTCTTTTGAGTTAATCTGAAAGACCAACTCAAAGGTCAATCAAAACATTTCACACCTCACAAGAAACCTCACTAATAGGACGTGTTCTTTAGAGTTTTAAAACAGGGCAGAAAATGAGCATGGATGAATCCTAACGGCTCAGGCGCCGTAATCCAGCTGCTCTCAACCCTCAAGAATCTCAATTTTACCTTGTATTGTCTTATATTTACTGAAGCCCAAATGGCCAGACAGCAGCAAACCTCACACGACCTCAGATGCAGCTCATAAACTTGACTTTGAAAGACACTGATACAACTCTGTACATATTCAAGTGCTCTTTAATTCAATGCACTGATACGAACTCTGAAGCATGATAACAAGATAACCCAGTACGCTCAGTTAACACTTTATCAGTTACACCTGGCTCAAACTAATGCAACAGTAAATCCTAACTTCATCAAGGCCATAACATTTTGTTAAGTGTGTTGATTCTTGATTCTACTGTATGTGTCACTGTGGAGGCTGATGCAGTTGAATTGTATTGCATCGCACAAAGAGCTGTTTGTTATCTGCCCTTCATTCATCTTCACTGATTTAAGTCAGGTGGAGAAAATAATGGAAACACATGTAAACTGATTGTAAAATCTGAATTCTATCACCACACAGAATATTAATGTTGGACCGATTTTCAAGATTTGATTCAATCACTACATTTTTGAAGGCCGATATGTTGTATATTACTTATTTCTGTTACAGTTGTTGTAGTGAAAGCATTAGCATGCATTAATATATAATCTCTGGCTCTTTAGCTGCTAAATGTTCCACTATGTTCAACAGAAAACAGCTGTCTGCAGCTGGAAATGAGGTTGATGAGAGCAGTGAGAGAGAAGCAAAAATAAAACCAAAACAATGAGCTGAAACAGCCTAAAACGCACCCTAAGGCTGAGAGGAGCTGGAGAGTCATTAATTATCTGTGGGTTCGTCATTATTGTTACCTTTCACATTACACAGTCATTTGATCCATTATTAATATAAAAATACTGATTAGTTCAGCTTTGATTTTAAAATTGCAGAACTTACTTTTGTCCTTGATTACTGTAGTTGTTGTCGTACGATTCATATCCCTGGTCATCATAAGCCGTTCCGTAGCCATCGTCATATTCCTGAGGAAGCACGGATAAAATGCAAAGGTTAGGTGAGGCACAAAAGGCAGACCACCAGTAAACATTTTGACAGCGAAGAGATGTTGATATGACAACCTGTGCAACATCGAATACCTGTTGAAATGCAGAGTGAAGAGGTCGAACAGACATAAGTAGAGAAGGAGCTGCTTTGTGCTGCGTTGTTTCGGTTAAATTGTGACTTAAATACCTTTCTGATGTCGGTTTACGACTATTTCTGGAGGACGATTAAATGAGAACTATTACCAAATCATGGTTTTATATTACAGATTGTATTCCTATCCGTCAAATTCTTATAGGGTAGCTTTTTGAAGAGACATTGCAGTGCACTGAAGCCTTCAACTTAGCACAGATATAGGTCAAACTGCTTCTTCTGTGGCTGTTGATATAGCAGCCCATATGCAGCGGCATTAAAGTGGCAACTGCAGCCCTGCCCTTGTCTCTGTGTCAATTGACTGACAGTAGGATGTAAAGACTCTCGCTGTGGCTACGTTTCATCACCACCTCAAAGGATGAGCCTTGAANGGTTTTTGGTTCTTAAAACCACAAATATATCTTCTTAAGGCTCAACACTTCAAAAATAAAGTGTTTGTGGACACACCGTGAAAAAGATCAATCCCAGGCCGATCATATCACTGAAGTGCTGTGTTAAGCTTGTATAATTGTGTACATGCATAATGTGAGCCTGCACTAACAGTAACTTTTCATCCAAATCCAGGACGCAGGACAGAAAACAAGAGAAGAAGTAAGTGAATCAGCTGTCTCTGGAGGCGCATACTTAGCTGTCTGGTCCCTATTAGTTGCTTCGTCTCCCACCAGATAACAGACATGAAAATCTCTTTGAGTCGACCCAGCCTCCAGCCTTTACATGATGGACTCCATTNCCCCGCCTGTGCACCCCACCCAGGCCCCCGCCAAGAAGAACATCAAAGGGAAACCAGTGCCGCACCCGTCCTAATTTGGGATAAATGGGACTTACGTTCCACAAAAGACGTCGACCCCTTGCGACACATCTCTCATCCCCCACACACTTCCTGGCTAATTCCATCTGCCCCTGATTTGCATGCTTGAAATGAACGTCTGTAAGATTTAGCAGCCGCAGAAAATGCTCATCACATCAATATTATTATTAAGGCCCTAAATCCTGATTAGAAACATGCATTTGCCAAATGACAGTATTTGAATTGACTCTTTTATCTTTAATCCTCCAGTAACGAAGTATGTCTGAAGGAACTACACGTGACTCTCAACAAAGACGTCATGAGACTTCCTTGTTTCTTGTTTTTGAAATATTAGGTTTGGTGCAACAATTGCTTAAAGGTCCCATATTTTACAGGTTTCTTGTGTTGATCCATAAGAAGATATATTTATGGTTTTAAGAGCCAAAAGCCATCTCAGTGTAGTTCTACATCTCCTCTCTCAGGTTTCTCTCCGGAGCTCTCGTAACAATAAGTCGATAAGCCAATCAGTAGAGAGGCTCTGAGCCTCATCTCTTCTGATTGGCTGATTGTTTCATGAGCAATCGAATAAAAATATAGCAGATTTCAGGAAAATAATAAGAGAAACCAAATCCTGCAAGGTTGGACGGCAGGTCCAGGGGAGCAGGACTCGGGGCGTGGCTGAGAGCAGTGTCTGCTTCATTGTGACATCACAAAGTTACAGAGCTCATGAAGGCTGTGTGCATTTCTCTGTGGACTGAGCACTCTGACACTTTCACAGTATTAATATAGAACCTAGACCTGCTTTATAATTTTAAAAAAATCACAGAAATGTTTATACAATATGGGACCTTTAAACATTTATTTTCTTAAACTGTGGCAGGTGCATTACAGAAGTCCGTTTTATATGCTCAAACCTCTCCTTGTTCCTCCTATCGGGTGGCATTCAGGACTTGTTTGTATTCCTGTTGTTGTTTGTGTGAGTGGGAGGTCCGTTGGTTTTTGCAGAGGTCTTTCTCAGCTCTCTTTTATTTGTCTAGAGGTAGCTTAAAGGGAATTCAAGTCCCTCCTGGCATTTTGTAGTTCTGCAGCTACAAGACCTTTTGCAAAGTCGACAATTCCCCATGCTAATGCAGGGACTAAGTTTAGTCAATAACTGTAGTTTTCACAATGTTAAACCCCTTGAACCCCCCCTTTGAAAAACAATACAAATGGCTGTTCTCAAAAAGCAGTGCAATTTTGTCAAAAAGGCTGTAATTAAAAGCACTTTTCAACCGGCAGATAAATTGTAGACTTTGATTTGCAATTTCCCACCATGACCCCTTTCCTGTCAGCTGAAACACAAAAGACAAAATAATTACCCTGGCAAATTTTGAATAGTTCTTGGCAAAGATAATAACAATGACAACACTGACGACAGTAAAAACATTTTAATATTTGTTTGTTAAGATCTGTAAGTGGCAAATAGAGGGGAAGTGGACTGTGGAAATGATTTCTGAACAAGGTAATCTCAGAAAAAAATACATCAGCAAGAAAGTCAATGTGTCTTTCGGAACATTTGTAGTTTTGTCCCAGGTCCCAGAATAAAAAAAGAAAAAATAATCCATGTTACTGCACAGTTTAACATAATCAAGCTGCTATACAAAATAAATGTGACCATTGTGAAGCTCATAATGCTCCATCATTGTTATTTTTTGAGATTTATTCAACGTAATGGTGATTTTTTGGCTGTAATTTGAGTCATTTTACATGGCATAATACTGTATCATACAGGCATTACAGGCATTCCTGATTAACATCTTCAGTTTGCCTTCTGTAAAATTAACCTCTCCCCGACATGTAGCCATCCACTGCTGATGATAAGTTCCTTGGTGTTGTTACATATTGTGGAGTTTCTAGCGGACGGACTGAAAAGCTCTGAAGCGTGGGAACAGAAAAGATAACAAAGCTGGTGCTACATGCAGTATAAGAGTCAGGGACAGCGTGCCATTTATTCACAGTCGACTACCAATTAATTCAATCAATTAACACGCGGGCGTGGTGGAGAAAAAAAAAGAAGCAGAGATACAATGATAATAATAATAATAATAATAATAATAATACTAATAATGTCGTCAGAAGTAAGTAAGAAGTAAATATTTTGTTCACATGCATCAAAGACAAATAATTGGTCCCATGTCAACGTCCTGCACTAACAATAAAAGTTGGACATGTCAACACAGAGACACACTGCACTCAAACCAGACACTACCCAACACAATTAGACAACGTAGAATTTGGATCCGGCCCAACTCGGGCCCCTCTACTGATAAGCAGTGCTGAACAAATCCTAACAATATTCACTCGTAGATACAGATATCAAATAATACGACGGCCCTGCTTGATGGATATTTATAATCATCAGTTTTATTCTGATCTGGCACGAGAAGCAGGCCCGATCATAAATATGTATGAGATTAACATCAGACGGACGAGACTGATACTGTACTTTGTAGACTAAGTCAACCAACCCCATGTTCTCATCATCTTGTCCTGACATCTTGGTCTTTGGGGATAAAGTATGACTGAGTTCTTGCAGTAGCTCTCAGATAGTCTTAGCAGTAGTTTACAACACTACAAAAGAAAAAAACAGTGGCAGCTAGAGTTACTGTACAGGAAATTACAGATGTTTTTCTTTAAAACTGCTGGATTTATCTCCCACATACTGTGCTGGGAATCAGGTTACAATCAGCTGTATTTTATCAATGAATTGTTAAGTATTTAAAAGTGGTGGAAAAGAAATACAATGCAATTTGCAATTTGTTCAAAGTTGCAACTTAAGTCGGTGAAAGGAGTCTCCTGCGCTTCAGCCCCTCCACTGATGGAGGTCGGCGCTCTCATAGCAGGGTACAAGTAGTTTGAGGGGCAACTTCTGAACGACTGAAGCCAAACGAAATACTGGAGCACACGATTCACTTTAGTGTTGTCACAACAAGAAGACAAAGCAGTCACAGAAATGTTAGCTAAATTTAGGTGATGAATGGGAAAAAGCTGTGGAGGTCAATCGAGGTCATCGCTTTCCACGGCCTCAAGAGAGCAATGCGCCAACAATGTGCCTGACCACGCGCTCAGATGGACGCAAGTGTATTTGCTATTCAAACTACATGGGTGTTGGGCGGGAAAATGACAGTCGGTCTGAAACTAGCCAAGACACTTGCGTTGCACTTTGCACTGCTTTGCGCCGGGTGTATGACTTTCCTGTCTCTCTCTCTCTCTCTCTCTCTCTGTCTGTCAGAATAAAGGTGAAATGTTTCTGTTGCACAGTACCTACTGCAGGCTGCAATAAACAAGCATGGTTATATGAATTTTGAATGACGGGAATCTCAGCAGGACAAAGAGTAAAATCATTGTAGCCCAGGTCGTGAAAGGAGGCTCTGCTGTCAAGTGAGACACTTGCTTTGAACGCAAAAACATGACGAGAGTCAAAACCTGTACAAGATGACACAGTCAGCTGTCTCCACTGGTTACTACACACTGACCACAGACTTCTTCCAACACATTAAATGAAGCCATAGCTTTGCTTTGCTTCTTACAGACACGTGACAATAAGACTAAAGAGACGGTGTATTCTGTTAATGTGAGTTTAAACCTCTTGATGACACAATGCTTCTTTGAACTTCTCTACTAGTTTACTGCATACGTACAAAACTGGTGTCAGAAGGTTAAAAAAAAAAGAAAAGAATGTAAATGTAAACATCATGTACTGCAATGAAAAATGAATGCTGTGCTGTTTATTATCAACAAACTCAATTAGCACTGCTCGCACCTAGTCCAGCTGGACTATACAGTATATGGAGAGTGAACTTGTGAACATTAGAAATTAACAGTAAGTGTAGGCACTGCACATCTTGGCGGTTTATAAATAAAATCTGATTTGAAAAGAAAAAAAGAAAAAAGAAAGTTCATGAGGCAATCAGAGACACAGACATGTGATTGCCTTTAGGGGCTGAGTTTTCAATGGTTAATGACACAGAGCAGCGGTGACTGTATCATGAAATGCTGGCA